ATGTTTTAGATTTTCTAACAGTCTTCACCTATAATACTATCAACGTAATGAAACTTTTATTTGTGTTTTCAATAATCTTGTTATTCTTTATCAGCATAGTAATAGCTGTTAGTTTCAGCATAGTAATAGCTGTTACATTGTATGTGTCACTGTATTACATTTTTGATAGCACATGACTTCATACGCACTTTGCATATTTCATGGAATTATCATTATATACACCAGCCACTCCTCGGAAGGAAGGTTGGGCAATCCTACTTCCGTAGTGATACTGCCTCGGAAACCCAAGGAGGGGTCACTATGAGTCAGGGCTGACTCGACGGCACATAACAACAACATAACAACTTTGTTTATAAAGTCTCTTGCTGGATTTAATTTTTATTTTAGTAAATAGCTGCTTCAATATTTTTTCCTAAAATTCTTATTTGAATTATTTTCTTTAGCTTAAAATGTATGAGTGGATTAATAGTTATTTTAACCTTGATAGTTTGTAGTACAGCAAGTGTTACTTTTCCCATCTTATGATTTAAGAAACTGAGGCTGAATTAACTAACTGGTTTAAGGTGACACAATTATCAATAGAGTCAGAGGATAGAATTCAAAATACTGTTTAGTTTGGTTGTGTGAATCTTGGCTTTTGCCTTTCCTGATACCACTCATGTTTTTTCATCTCTCTCTGTTGAAAGCTTCTGCTTTATGGCTGTATGAAAAACCAAACTCACTGACATGGAGTTGATTCTGAATAGTGGCCGTATTTTGAACAGAACTTCCACATAGGGTTTCCAAGCTATAAATCTGTATGGAAGCAAATTGCCATGTTTTTTGCCCATGGGGTGGCTTTGAACCACTGACCTTTTGTTTAGTGGTCGAGCACTTAACCACTGTGCTGACAGGGCTCCTTTTATGGCTGTGCTTCCTGATAATATAATTCATTCATAGTAGTAACATGAAGGAAAGGTTGAAGTAACACCACGTCATACATTAACCGATTATGTCTCAATTTGTCATAAATCATATCATAATCATGGGGTTTTACTGTTACTGGTATAGTACAGGAGTGGTTAAAAGTTTGACACTGGGGTTAGACTGCCCAAGTTTCAATTTTGGCTCTGCCACTTTCTAACTAGTGCCTAAGGCACTTGACTGCTAACCAGAAGGCTAGTGGTTCAAACCCACCAACCACTCCTCGAAAGGAAGGTTGGGCAATCTACTTCCGTAGTGATACTGCCTCAGCAACCCAAGGAGGGGTTGCTATGAGTCGGGTCCGACTCGACGGCACATAACAACAACAACAATCCTAACCAAAAAACAAACTGGTTGCTATGAAGTTGGTTCTGACCTGTGGTGGTACCAGTGTTTCGTAGTAGAACCATGCTGTATAGGGGTTCCAATGGCTATAATCTTTGGAACTGGATTGCTAGGTCTTTCTTCTGAGGCACTTCTGGGTGGATTCAGAATGCCAGCTTTTCAGTTAGTAGCCCAGCACTTAATTATTTGTGCTATCTAGGCTATAATCAGAAGGGTCCCTTCTCTGGAGAAGGATATTATTCTTGGTAAAGTGGAGAGTCAACAAAAAAGGGGAAGGCTTTCAACAAGATGGATTGACACAGTGGCTGCAATGATGGGCTCAGGTATAGAAGGGATTGTGAGGGTGGCACAGGACAGGGCAGTGTTTCATTCTGTTGTACATATGCTAAAAACACAAGGAGGCCACATCTTCTGACCTCCTCTAACTGCACAAGAGTAAGACAGAAGCACCATCAGTAGCCTGAGGTTCATTACTGTGAGGCCATACATGCTGACTCCTAAATATATTTAATAAAATATGAAAAAAAATTATATTTATTTAATAAAATATGAAAAAAAATTATATTTATTTAATAAAATATAATTCTTGTCTTATTTGGAGATAGGTCTATATAAATGAAGAGTGAATTACAGTGTTTATAATCAGTATTCTGTGGTATTTAGCTTACTTCATCTAAAAGCACAGTCTTCAAGTTGATTGGTATCTTACTAATCACCTAATGAGCTCAGTCTTTCTATGGTATTCTTGAGATGGGACATAATACATTATTCATTTGAATGATTGCAGTGAATTAATTCAGCAAACTCTTCATTGAACTATTTCTCTGTTTCAATTGGGTACTCTTTAGGTGTTGATAATGGAGGAAAGATTGAGCTTAAGGAGGAACTCACTATACCTTTTTCAAGACATGATACCTAATCAAAAAGAAAAATATTTATATTACCTCCTAGGGTAAGCCTTGGTAGTTCAGCAGGACTGGGCTATTAACTGAAAGGTTGTTAACCCACCCAATGGTTCTGTGGGAGAAAGTCTTGGTGATCCGCTCTGGTAAAGATAACAGCCATAAAAACTCTGTGTGGCCTTTCTACATGATCACAAATGGGGTTGCTGTAAGTTGAAACTGACTGGAAGACAGCTAACAACAACAAAAGTGTAAATGGAAAAGGTGGCTATAGCTGACATACTCTAGATGTTTCTTTCGGATACCCAGAAAATTGAAGGACTCATTGTCTTAGGACACTTGTAATTCATTTGTGGCACACCAGGTGAGCTGCTCAGGCCTAATCGAGTCAGGAGGTTGTGCCATTTATTGTGGACCTTAAAGTGATAGACATGGGTTTAAAGCTGAGTTGGAAGCATTTCTGTCACAGACCAATTAGGCATAGTATTTTTCATAAAAGATTCAATCTAGGTCACTGCATTCACAGTTCCAAAGAGCCTAATTAATTTATATATTTAATTTTTATTGTGATTTGGGTGAGAGTTTACAAAGCCTATTCATTTTCCATACAACAATTCATACACATTTGCTTCATAATATTGACTGCAGTTCCCCACAGCTTAACAGCTCTCTTCCCACTTCCTCCCTATAGTTACCTCTTCCCTGTGTCTGTTACTCTCATACACTTCTGTTCCACCAGCTATCTCCCTGTGCAAACACTACCTTTCTATTCTCCCACAATTGATCACTCCAAGGAGTGTACCTACCTGATGAAACATTTACCCTATATACCTGTTGTTTGGCTGAAAGTCACAGGAGTGAGTTCACTTCCAGACCTGAAGGGTAACTAGGGGCTATAGTCTCAGAGGTCTCACCAGGTTCTATCAGACCAGCAAACCTGGTCTTTTTTTTTTTCTTTTATGATTTTGAGTTTTGTTCCATGTTGTTCTCCCACTCTGGGCAGGATCTCCTGCACCAATCCCCCCTGCCTCTGAGTGGTTGGCAGTGATAGCTGGGGTACTATCTAGTTCTGTTGGTCTCATGGTCTTATCAGCTAAGGATCCCATAGTCTACTAGTCCTTTGGAGTGTTTGCATGTGTCTTTGGTTTTCTTCATTCTTCTATGTTCTGCATGAGGAAAGACCCGTCGTTACATCTAGATGGTCATGTGCAAGCTTTTAAGACCCGAGTTGCTACTCACCAAAGTAAGAGGTAGAACAATGTTTTTGTGTAGTATGTTATGCCAGTTGAGATTGATGTCCACTATGACCATGGTTCTGAGCCCACAGGTCTAACTACGTGCTCCCTCAGGGAGGTTAGCTTTGGCTAAGAAGTTACCATAACTTTGCCCCTTGTTAGCTCTATTATATATTTGGACATTCTTCTTTTTTTTTTTTTTAATTGTGATTCGGGTGAAGATTTACAGAGCAAATTCACTTTCCATATAGCAGTTCACATATACTTTGTCTCATGTCATTGAGAACAGTTTACCACAATGGAACAGCTCCCCTCCCACTTCCTCCCCATAATTACTTCTTCCCAGTGTCCATCCCTCCATACGCTCCTGCCCCCTGAGCTGTCTCCCTGTGCATAAGCAGCCCTTCTTTCTCCCATGATTGTTCTCTCCTGCCAGTTGAGCTTGAGGAATTTCCTTTTATTCCTACTTTTCTGAGAATTTTTATGAGGAATGGATGTTGGATTTTATCACATGCATTTTCTATATGATTTGATATGATCATGTGGTTCTTTTCCTTTGTTTTACTTATGTGATAAATTACATTGTTCTTCTAAAGTTAAACCACGGAGACTCTTATATTGTATTCTATGTAAATGATGTCCCATAGAATTTTGTGGTACAGTGTTTTGCGTGCATCTTCCTTTGTGTATCCTGGGAGAAATCTAGGTTCATTGCTAGATTCTTACATATGCCTTTCAGGATTGTTGCATTAAAGCCATTATTGCTTATATTTTGAAATGTTTGTTGAATATCACATGTACAAGAGACCACAATCTGTTGACATTATTTAAAATTCTTTCTATAATTTTCTAATTCTTGACCTTTATTTTCTTATTCTTTATTTTTATGATGTGATACAAGGACTAAGGCAGTAATATCTTTTTCTTGGGATGATTCTGCTCATCTATGATTTCTTTCTTTAGCTTTTCATAAATAAAAATGGTTTAATTTTATTTTTTTCAAAGTATAGATAAACTGCTTATGTAAGTGAATATAAATTGAGAGCTACTTCTGTATACAAGCATACCTTGTTGTATCATGTTTCACTTTTACTGTACTTCACAGATAATGCATTTTTTAAAAATTGAAGCTTTGTGGCAACCCTGCATCCAAAATGTCTGTCAGTGCCATTTTTCACACAGCATGTGCTCACTTCATGTCTCTTTGCCACATTTTGGTAATTGTCACATTTCAGACTTTATCAAAAATATTGCACACTTAAAAGACTGCAGTGTCGTATAAACATAACTTTCATATGCTCTGGGAAACTAAAAGTTTACGTGACTCACTTTGTTGCAATAATGGCTTTTTTGTGATCTAGAACCAAACCCACAATCTCTCTTAGGTGTGCTTGTACAGAAAAGGTAACTTAGGTTTTTTTGTAGTTGTTAGGTTCGAGTGTTTTCACCCAGATTTTTTAAGGCATTATTTTCTCAGAGTAGTAATAGGACAGTGATGTACTGTTTTCGAATGTTTTTGAGTCTCATCGATATCCCATGTTTTATCTGTCTAAAGTGTCAACCCAAGAAAAAGCCAACACCACTGAAGTATGAAGTTGGAGATCTTATCTGGGCAAAATTTAAGAGACGACCATGGTGGCCCTGCAGAATTTGTTCCGATCCTTTGATTAACACACACTCAAAAATGAAAGGTAATGCTTTTACTTGATTATACATGATAAAATGCAGTATTAAATTATAAATTTGCAGTTGCCTTTACTATAACACAGTGTTACTTGCTTTTAGTAATAACTCATTTTATCTTTGCTGCATTTCATGAGTGAATTGTTACTAGCTTATATATATTTTTAAAAGTTTGGGTTACTTTATGATTTAAAAATTTTCTTTTAGTCTATCTATGTTGTTGTTGTTATGTGCCATCAAGTCGGACCCAACTCATGGCGACCCCTTCTTGGGTTTCTAAAGCAGTATCACTTCGGAAGTAGATTGCCTCATCTTCCTTCCGAGGAGTGGCTGGTGAGTTTGAACTGCCAGTCTTCTGGTTAGCAGTCAAATGCCTTAGGCACTATGCTACCAGAGCTCTTCTATAGCTTGTAGGTATGTAAAATAGTACAATTGCAATGCATGACTCCTCAAAAAAATTAGCCCTGGAGCTACCTTATAATTCAGCAATTCTACACGTTGGTATAGCCTAGTATAACATATCTAACAGAAGAAACATGAACAGACATATGCATACCTATGTTAATTACAGCACTATTCACAACAGGCAGAAAGTGGAAACAACTTAAGTCTATCTATAGACTCTAGAAAAAAGTTAGGCGTGTCATATAAAATTTACATCATGCAGAATAATTACTCAGTAAAATTATGTTTCTACTTAATTCTTCATATTTAGATAAGTTTTGATAGTTTATTTTATTTTATTTATTGTGATTTGGGTGAAGATTTTCAGAGTGAATTCACTTTCTATACAGCAGTTCACATGCACTTTGTCTCATGTCATTGACCACAGTTTACAATGCATCAGCTCCCCTCCCACTTCCTCCCCTTAGTTACCTCTTCCCAGTGACCATCCCTCCATACTCTTCCTGCGCCCTGAGCTATCTCCCTGTGCATAAGCAGCCCTTCCTTCTCCCATGATTGTTTTCTCCAGGGCATGTTTCTACTTGAGGTAAATGTTTAACTCACATGCCTGTACATTGTTTGGCTGAAAACCACAAGTGTGGGTTCAATTCCAGACCTGAAGGGCAGCCAGTGACCATAGTCTCAGTGGTTCCACCAGGCTCTATTGGACCAGCAAACCTGTTCCCCACCTTTTTTCTTTTTTCCCCCAAATGATTTTGAGTTTTGTTCCACATTGTTCTCCCTCTCTATCCAGGATCTCCTACATCCCTTCCAAGTGGATG